TTTAAATTTTTAAGGAATTTGGTTGGCCGGGTCAAAACCCAAGTAATTTTTTGGGTGGAAAAACCTGGGTTTTGGGGGGGTCCGCAAAACCCTCGGGTTTGTGGCCGATTTTAAATTATTTGTAAAAGGGGGTTGGGGGGCCGAAAAAATATTTTCGGGGGGTAATTTGGGGGGGCTGAAAATTTTTAAATTTCCCCCTCAGTACGGTTTTTTGTTAAAATTTAAATTATTTTCCCAAAAGTTTGGGGGGGGAAGAAAGGTCCGGTTTTTACCCGGGGTTTCCCTGTTGGGCCTTGATTTTATTCCCCAGTATTTTTTTTGGGGATTCCTTAAAATTTCCAACCCAAGCACGGGGTTGGGTCGGAAAAAAAATTTATTTTCCAGAATTCGGGGTTGGCCCCTGGATCTTTTTTTTTCCCTAATCGGGTTTGGGTCCGGCCCTTAAATATTCCCAATATCCTGGTTGGTTTTATGTATTCTTTCCCCTTTAAAAGTAATCGGTTTTGGCCCCATTCTTAAAATATTCCTAAAGAAAATCGGGTTTGGGGTCCTGAATTTTTAATAATTTCCTTCGAAATTTGGGGGTTTTTGGTTGATCTTAAATATTCCCCCTCTTTTTTCCCGGGTTTCGGTCCCCCAAAAAATTTTTCCCCTGGTTTGGGGTTGGGGCCTGATTTTTTCCTAGTAATTGGTTTTGGGTTCCGACTTCTTTTTCCCCAAGGTTTTATGGTTGGTTTTTGATTTTTTAAATTTTTCCCTTTTGGGGGGGGGTAATTGGGGGTTTGGTCCCCCAACCTTTAAAAATTTGGGGGGTTAATTTGGTTTGGAAAAACGACCTTTTTCCCTCATTTTTCTGGTTTGTCCTGATTTATAACCCTTTTGGGGGGGGATAAAATTTGGGGTTTTGGTCCCAAAATTTAAAAAATTCCCTATTTTAAAATTTTGGGGTTGGGGTCCGTCCAAAAATTTTTCCCTAGAAGGTTGGGGGGTTTAAATATTTTAAAGATGGGTTTGGGGCTTGAAAATATTTTTGTAACCGGGTTTGGGGGCCGGGGGGGGATTTTAAAATTTCCTCGGGGTAATTTTGGGCGGCTGATTCCAAAAACCTCGGTAAAGGTTTTGGCCCGGAAAAATTCCTTTTAGTAAGGGGGGTTGCCCGATGCTTTTAAATTTAGGGGGGGGCCCGGGGGAATTGGGGTTTGTTTAAAAACCTCAGTAATCTGGTTGGCCCTGACTTTTTTTTCCCCCCCTCAGAAATTTTCTGGTTGGCCCTTTGATTTTAAATTTTTCCTCTTTTTCATTGGTTGGGTCCTGTTCTTAAATTTCCCTCGTTTTCTGGTTGGTCTGATCTTAAAATATTTCCTCAGTAATTGGGGGGTTTCCCTGTCTTTTAAAATTTTCCCTAAAGAAATTTGGGTTTGGGGTCCTGATTTTAAAATTTTTCCCACCCCAGTAATTGGTTGGTCTGTTCCTTAAATTTTCCCCCAATAATTGTTGGGTTTCCTGTTTCTTAAATTTTCCCCTCAGAAATTCAATGGTTAAAATTTCCCCGAACTTTTTTTAAATATTCCCCCCAAGAAAAATTGGTTGGCCCTAAAATTTTAAAATTTTCCCCTCAGTAATTGGTTGGCCCCTTGAACTTTAAATATTCCCTCAGTTTTCTGGTTGGCCCTGATTTTAAAATATTCCCTCGGGTAATCTGGTTGGTCCTGATCTTAAATATTCCCTCTGAAATTCGGGGTTTGGCCCTGATTTTTAAAAATATTCCCTCGGAAATTGGTTGGTCCGATTTAAATATTCCCTCAGAAATTTGGGTTTTGGCCCCAAATTTTAAAATTTTTAAATCAGAAATTTGGGTTGGCCCCGATCTTAAATATTCCTCAGTAATCGGTTGGCCCTGGTCTTAAATTTCCCTCAGTTTTTGGTTGGCCCTGATTTAAATATTCCTTAAAAAAATTTGGGTTTGGGTTTCCTGATCTTAAATTTTCCCCTCAGGAACCCCTTGGCCCCCCCCCTTGGGCCCCCCCCCTGATCTTAAAAAATTCCCCCCGTTTTTCGGGTTTGGCCTAAATTTTAAAATATTCCTTCAGTAATCTGGTTGGTCCTGATCTTAAATATTCCTTCAGTAATTGGTTGGCCCGGGATCTTAAATTTTTCCTCAGTAATCTGGTTGGCCCTTGTCTTAAAATTCCCCCCGTAATCTGGTTGGCCCGGGATTTAAATTTTCCCCCCGGAAAATTGGTTGGTCTGATTTAAATTTCCCCTCAGAAATTGGGGTTGGTCCCAAATCTTAAATTTTCCCCCTCGGTTTAAATTGGTTGGGCCCCTTTTTTCTTAAATTTTTCCCCCTCTTTAATTCTGGTTGGTCCCGGATTTAAATTTTCCCCTCGGAAAATTTGGTTTGGGCCCCTGATTTTAAAAATTTCCCCCCCCGTAATCGGGTTTTGGTCCTGACCCAAAAATATTCCCCCCAGTTTTTATGGTTGGTCCCGATCTTAAATTTCCCCTCGTTTTGGTTGGCCCTGATCTTAAATTTTTCCCCTCAGAAATTTGGGAAAGGGCCCTGAATCTTAAATTTTCCCCTCAGAAAATCGGGTTTTGGCCCTGATTTTTAAAAATTTTTTTTTTTTTTTTTTACCTAAAGTAATTGGTTGGTTTGATCTTAAATTTTCCCCCTCAGTTAATTGATTGGTCCGGGATCTTAAATATTCCCTCAGTAATCTGGTTTTGGTTTCCTAAATTTAAATATTCCCTAAGTAATCTGGTTGGTCCTAAATTTAAATTTTCCCCTCAGAAATTTTGGTTTGGTCCTGATCTTAAATTTTCCCCTCAGTTATTGGTTGGTCCAAAATTTTAAATATTCCCTCAAGAAAAAAAAACCCCCCCCCCCCCTTTGGCCCTAAATTTTTAATATTCCCTCGTAATCGGGTTTGGTCCTGATCTTAAAAAATTCCCCTCGGGTTAATTTTGGTTGGTCCTGACCCTTAAATTTTCCCCCTCAGAAATTTGGGTTTTGGCCCTGACCCTTAAAAAACCCCTCCATTAATTGGTTGGCCCCGGATTTTAAAATTTTCCCCTATTAAGTCTGGTTGGTCCCGATTTTAAAATTATTCCCCCCAAGTAATTGGTTGGCCCGGGTTTTTAAAAATTATTCCCTCGTAATCGGGTTTGGGTTGTTTTAAAATTTTTCCCCTTTCAGAAATCGGGTTTGGGGCCCTGCCCCCTTAAAATTTTCCCCTCAGTAATCTGGTTGGCCCTGATTTAAAATTTTTCCCCTCAGTAATTGGTTGGCCCTGATTTAAAATATTCCTTCAGTAATTTTGGTTGGCCCCTGACCCTTAAATTTTTTTCCCTTTCAGAAAATTGGTTGGTCCTAAATTTTAAATTTTCCTCGAAAATTTGGGTTGGCCCTGATTTTAAAAATTATTCCCCCTCATTAATTGGTTGGCCCTGATCTTAAATATTCCTTCAGTTTTTCTGGTTGGCCCTGATTTAAATATTCCTTCGTAATTGGTTGGCCCTGATTTAAATATTCCCTCAGTAATCGGTTTTGGGCCCCGTTTCTTAAATTTTTCCCTCAAAATTCGGGTTGGCCCTGTCTTAAATTTCCTTCGTTAATTTGGTTGGCCCTGAATTTAAAATATTCCCTCGTAATCTGGTTGGCCCTGATTTTAAAATTATTCCCTCAGAAAATCTGGTTGGCCCTGATTTTAAAATTTTCCCTTTAAGAAATTGGGTTGGCCCCTGACCCTTAAATTTTCCCTTCAGAAATTTGGGTTGGCCCCGATCTTAAATTTTCCCCTGGGTAATTGGTTGGCCCTGATCTTAAAAATTCCCCTCAGAAATCGGGGTTGGGGTCCCGATTTAAAAAAATTATTCCCTGGGGAAATTTGGGTTTGGGGTTGATCTTAAATATTCCCTCAGTAATCTGGTTGGTCCTGATCTTAAATATTCCTTCAGTAATCTGGTTGGTTTGGTTTTTAAATTTTTTCCTTTCAGAAAATTGGGGTTTGGTTGATTTTTAAATTATTCCCCAGAAATTTGGGTTTTGGTTGATTTTAAAATTTTCCCCTCAGTAATCTGGTTGGTCCCGTCTTAAATTCCCCCCTTTTAATTGGTTGGCCCCCTGATCTTAAATATTCCCTCAGTAATCTGGTTGGTCCCGATCTTAAATATTCCCTCAGTAATCTGGTTGGTCCTGATCTTAAATATTCCCTCAGTAATCTGGTTGGTCCTGATCTTAAATATTCCCCTCGGTATTTTTGGTTGGTCCCGATTTTAAATTAAAATTTTCCCCAGTAATCTGCCGTTTTTTCCCAAAATTGAACTTTCAATCAGACACGATGCTGATGTCATCATCATAGAGGCCTGTGCTTCCTAATGGAAATGCTGAATCATGGAATGGGTTTTTTTTTTGGGGTGGTTTTTATTTTTTTAATTTTTTTCCAATGGGGGGGGCTTTCCAGGGCCCCCTTGTTAAAGGGTTCCAAATTTAAAGCCCGTAAAACCCCCGACTTCCAGGGGGGTTTCCCCTTTTGTGGGGCCCCGCTTCCTTTACCCGCCTGGCCCTTCGGGCCCCACTAACTGTTAGACCCTTTAAAAAAAGGGGCCCCCCCTTTGTAGGGAAGACCAAAAACCGGGGTCTTTATTTTGGGGGTGGCAGACACACCATAAAGGCCCGGGAAGGGGCCCCCCCCCCTCCCCCCCCCCCCCCCCCCCCCCCCCCCCCCCCCCCCCCGTCATTGTTCTCAGAGACGGGGCGGCCAGAAGAATCTGGAAGGGATTTAAACCGACAACTCTCAGGCGTTTATCCAGAGGCGCCGTCTCCCTGCAGCCTCTGCCTCCTTCCTTCCCTTCATACCTGAGCAGTCATCTAAATGAGCAGGCACCTGTTCATACCTATTCATTCCTTTACCGATGCCCCCCCCCCCAGTAACCTATACCCCACAATTACCCCGGGCCCCATAAAGGAGCCTTGTGTAGTTCCTGTCCTGTTCCAGTGGCTCTGACAGGCCAGAAGATGCCATGCCATCTGATCTCCTCCTTAAAGACAAATGCCCTCATTTCCTGGGAAGCCCTCCTCCAACAGTAGATACCTTTGTGGCCTGCTGCCCCCCCCTCCTCACCCGTCCATCACCTCAGGGTGTGCTGGGTGACCTGCTGCTGATGGTGACGGGACAAAACATCCAGTCATCTGCGCTCCTTTTGTTTTGGTCTGAGCAGTTATCAGGATTGGGAAAATGATCTGATGGGAAGTTGTCTGGATTAATATTTCCCGTTCAGGCCTAAAGGCATCAGCTAGCAGCTTCATTCAGTTCCACCATGAAGCTCTTTAGAAGCTGTAGGCAGGAAGGATCTCCTGCAGAGGTCTGTCTGCAGCGCCTCTACAAAGCCTCTGACTGAGGCTGCTCTCTGCGCTCCATAATCTTCATGAAGGTGAAATCATCTCCAGAGGACTTCCTGGAATAGAGCCGCCCTTCCTGTTGATCTGCTGGTGTAGAAGCTGCTGCTATAGATACATGCAGAGGGACATTAAATCAGCTCCACCTGGTTCTACTTAATCCTCACATCACTGTTGGACACATCCATGAATCAGGAGTCAGTGAAACGCTACCAGCTATAAGATCTGCAGCTACGCTCTGCTAGAAAGCGTTAGCATTAATGTCCAGCTTCATCAGAACGTCTCTGTGCTATTTCTCTGCAGCTCATCATCCGACCAGGCAGCGACCGCCGCATGTCGAGGAGTAAAAGATAAAAACAATGTTTTCCATGAGAACATGGAGGGTTGTTAGAGTGGATTTAATTCTGAGATCCTCGTGTTCATCAGAGACAGGATGGTCTGTAGAACAGTTTTCTAAAAGGGTTAGAGGACGATCTTAGATCATCTCAATCAGTGGTCATCTTAACTGTCAATCATTCTGGTGATATATTTCCATAAGGCAGCATCTGAGCAGCAGGAGCCTCATAAGCTTCTGAGCATCTGAGGCGCTTCACCTGCAGCAGCTGCTGGAGTTGGAAAAATGGAACTTTAGCTGCTGGATGCGCCTCATCGACCAATGAGAGAAGCTGATCTGGGAGCTGGCAGGGAGTCAGACGCAGCACTGCTGATGCAGAGCGCTATGATCACTCCTCTGAAACAGTTTATTAACGCCTAAATTACCTTCAAATGTAGAAACCTGCCGGCAGAATATGTTGGCTTTTATTATCCTGCTGCCTGCAGTTTGTAGCACAGACCTGAAAAACGCTAACATCTACTTCCAGCCGCCACCAACAGGAGGGGAAAACCCTGGAGAGGCGAGCGGGCCTGAGGCAGCTGCTGCTGGGGATTCCCAGTGACAGCGCAGCGCCGGTATGTGGGGGTCTGAGCGGCTCCCACAGAGAAATAAACTTTGAAGGCAGGATGGTAATCTGGATGAACTGACTGCACAGACCATGTTTTCAGGAGGACTTTCTCACTTCAACATAGATTCTAACTACTTTCTACCCGCTGATCACAGCTAATATAGCCGCCATTGTTCCAGGCAGAGAAAGGATAGGGTAGCTCCGCCCACTGCGCATCAGACCCACTTTACCACCGCGCAGCTAGAGCAGCTAAGATGCTTCAGCCGAGCGTCAGAACTAAACTGGTACAAGCATCAAAAATGAAGCAGGACGCGTGTTTTTTCTGCTCCTGCTGCGTGCGCTCTGAATGCAGCATTAGAGGAGGAGCAGTGAGGTCAGGGATCCTGTCCCAGCATAGAGCCTGGTTCCAGTGGGTAGACCTCTGCACAGACTGGACCTGCTGGTCTGTAAAAGACTGTCAGCTGCTCTGAATCAGCGCCTATTAAAGGGAAGTGATGGAAGTGGGAAGCAGGCCTCTGTGCAGTCAGTGAGGAGCTTGTTCAGTCAGAGTCAGTGCAAGCAGAGCAGCTGGATGCTAAATGTTTTTAGCTTTCCATCTCTGCTCTCTCCTTTGAAAAGCTGTGAACTCTGCAGAGCAAACGCTTTGGCCTCATGTAGTCGTCCATGTTGGAAACTGGGCTGGAATAAAGGGATGCTGATCAGGTTTTTCTGTTGCACTCATCTCTTTTTGCATGCATGTGTGTTTTTAATCTGCCAGAGATGGAATGCCCTGCAGCATTAGTGCTGCACAGAGGGTGAGGCAGGGGGAGGGGGGGTGTTCACAGTGCCAGAGGGCAGGCAGGACTGAGCAGCTGCTCTTTATAGTGACTGAACGGACAGCAATGTGTCAGGCATCTGCCACGCATTCAGCCAACCTTCTACCCCTCTGCCCTGTGTTTATTTCAGACACTGTCACTGCGCCTCATTAAACCCCTGCTCTATTCTCTGCTCTATGCTCTCTGCTCTATTCTCTCTGCTCTATTCTCTCTGCTCTATTCTCTCTGCTCTATTCTCTCTGCTCTATTCTCTGCTCTATTCTCTGCTCTATTCTCTGCTCTATTCTCTGCTCTATTCTCTGCTCTATTCTCTGCTCTATTCTCTGCTCTATTCTCTCTGCTCTATTCTCTGCTCTATTCTCTGCTCTATTCTCTCTGCTCTATTCTCTCTACTCTATTCTCTGCTCTATTCTCTCTGCTCTATTCTCTCTGCTCTATTCTCTGCTCTATTCTCTCTGCTCTATTCTCTCTGCTCTATTCTCTGCTCTATTCTCTCTGCTCTATTCTCTCTACTCTATTCTCTCTGCTCTATTCTCTGCTCTATTCTCTCTGCTCTATTCTCTGCTCTATTCTCTCTGCTCTATTCTCTGCTCTATTCTCTCTGCTCTATTCTCTCTGCTCTATTCTCTGCTCTATTCTCTCTGCTCTATTCTCTCTACTCTATTCTCTGCTCTATTCTCTGCTCTATTCTCTCTGCTCTATTCTCTCTGCTCTATTCTCTGCTCTATTCTCTCTGCTCTATTCTCTCTGCTCTATTCTCTCTGCTCTATTCTCTGCTCTATTCTCTGCTCTATTCTCTCTGCTCTATTCTCTGCTCTATTCTCTCTGCTCTATTCTCTGCTCTATTCTCTCTGCTCTATTCTCTCTGCTCTATTCTCTGCTCTATTCTCTCTGCTCTATTCTCTCTGCTCTATTCTCTGCTCTATTCTCTCTGCTCTATTCTCTCTGCTCTATTCTCTCTGCTCTATTCTCTGCTCTATTCTCTGCTCTATTCTCTCTGCTCTATTCTCTGCTCTATTCTCTCTGCTCTATTCTCTGCTCTATTCTCTCTGCTCTATTCTCTCTACTCTATTCTCTGCTCTATTCTCTGCTCTATTCTCTGCTCTATTCTCTCTGCTCTATTCTCTGCTCTATTCTCTGCTCTATTCTCTCTGCTCTATTCTCTCTACTCTATTCTCTGCTCTATTCTCTCTGCTCTATTCTCTCTACTCTATTCTCTCTGCTCTATTCTCTGCTCTATTCTCTCTGCTCTATTCTCTGCTCTATTCTCTCTGCTCTATTCTCTGCTCTATTCTCTCTGCTCTATTCTCTCTGCTCTATTCTCTGCTCTATTCTCTCTGCTCTATTCTCTCTACTCTATTCTCTGCTCTATTCTCTGCTCTATTCTCTCTGCTCTATTCTCTCTGCTCTATTCTCTGCTCTATTCTCTCTGCTCTATTCTCTGCTCTATTCTCTGCTCTATTCTCTCTGCTCTATTCTCTCTGCTCTATTCTCTCTGCTCTATTCTCTCTGCTCTATTCTCTGCTCTATTCTCTCTGCTCTATGCTCTGCTCTATTCTCTCTGCTCTATGCTCTGCTCTATGCTCTCTGCTCTATTCTCTCTGCTCTATTCTCTCTGCTCTATTCTCTGCTCTATTCTCTGCTCTATTCTCTCTGCTCTATTCTCTCTGCTCTATTCTCTGCTCTATTCTCTCTGCTCTATTCTCTCTGCTCTATTCTCTGCTCTATTCTCTGCTCTATTCTCTCTGCTCTATTCTCTCTGCTCTATTCTCTGCTCTATTCTCTCTGCTCTATTCTCTCTGCTCTATTCTCTGCTCTATTCTCTGCTCTATTCTCTCTGCTCTATTCTCTGCTCTATTCTCTCTGCTCTATTGTCTCTGCTCTATTCTCTGCTCTATTCTCTCTGCTCTATTCTCTCTGCTCTATGCTCTCTGCTCTATGCTCTGCTCTATTCTCTCTGCTCTATTCTCTGCTCTATTCTCTGCTCTATTCTCTCTGCTCTATGCTCTGCTCTATTCTCTGCTCTATTCTCTCTGCTCTATGCTCTGCTCTATTCTCTCTGCTCTATTCTCTGCTCTATGCTCTGCTCTATTCTCTCTGCTCTATGCTCTGCTCTATTCTCTGCTCTATTCTCTCTGCTCTATGCTCTCTGCTCTATTCTCTCTGCTCTATTCTCTCTGCTCTATTCTCTGCTCTATTCTCTCTGCTCTATTCTCTGCTCTATTCTCTGCTCTATTCTCTGCTCTATTCTCTCTGCTCTATTCTCTCTGCTCTATTCTCTGCTCTATGCTCTCTGCTCTATTCTCTCTGCTCTATGCTCTCTGCTCTATTCTCTCTGCTCTATTCTCTCTGCTCTATTCTCTCTGCTCTATTCTCTGCTCTATGCTCTGCTCTATTCTCTCTGCTCTATGCTCTGCTCTATTCTCTGCTCTATTCTCTCTGCTCTATGCTCTCTGCTCTATTCTCTCTGCTCTATTCTCTCTGCTCTATTCTCTGCTCTATTCTCTCTGCTCTATTCTCTGCTCTATTCTCTGCTCTATTCTCTGCTCTATTCTCTCTGCTCTATTCTCTCTGCTCTATTCTCTCTGCTCTATTCTCTGCTCTATTCTCTGCTCTATTCTCTGCTCTATTCTCTCTGCTCTATGCTCTCTGCTCTATTCTCTCTGCTCTATTCTCTCTGCTCTATTCTCTCTGCTCTATTCTCTCTGCTCTATTCTCTGCTCTATTCTCTGCTCTATTCTCTGCTCTATTCTCTCTGCTCTATTCTCTCTGCTCTATTCTCTCTGCTCTATTCTCTCTGCTCTATTCTCTGCTCTATTCTCTGCTCTATTCTCTGCTCTATTCTCTCTGCTCTATTCTCTGCTCTATTCTCTCTGCTCTATTCTCTCTGCTCTATTCTCTCTGCTCTATTCTCTGCTCTATGCTCTCTGCTCTATTCTCTCTGCTCTATGCTCTCTGCTCTATTCTCTCTGCTCTATTCTCTCTGCTCTATTCTCTCTGCTCTATTCTCTGCTCTATGCTCTGCTCTATTCTCTCTGCTCTATGCTCTGCTCTATTCTCTGCTCTATTCTCTCTGCTCTATGCTCTCTGCTCTATTCTCTCTGCTCTATTCTCTCTGCTCTATTCTCTGCTCTATTCTCTCTGCTCTATTCTCTGCTCTATTCTCTGCTCTATTCTCTGCTCTATTCTCTCTGCTCTATTCTCTCTGCTCTATTCTCTGCTCTATTCTCTGCTCTATTCTCTGCTCTATTCTCTCTGCTCTATGCTCTCTGCTCTATTCTCTCTGCTCTATTCTCTCTGCTCTATTCTCTCTGCTCTATTCTCTCTGCTCTATTCTCTGCTCTATTCTCTGCTCTATTCTCTGCTCTATTCTCTCTGCTCTATTCTCTCTGCTCTATTCTCTGCTCTATTCTCTGCTCTATTCTCTGCTCTATTCTCTCTGCTCTATTCTCTCTGCTCTATTCTCTCTGCTCTATTCTCTCTGCTCTATTCTCTGCTCTATTCTCTGCTCTATTCTCTGCTCTATTCTCTCTGCTCTATTCTCTGCTCTATTCTCTCTGCTCTATTCTCTGCTCTATTCTCTGCTCTATTCTCTCTG